AAATGCTTTTGTTAAGTGGGTTTAGGTTTGAGAAGAACCTGCCTAGTATGGGCCAATAGACCTGCTGCAGTGCTCCTCTATTCTTATGTTCTTATAATAAAGTCTTTCTCTCCACTGGGGAGTCCCTTCTACCGGTGACAATGTCTTCGTCTGGTACACGTCCCTCGCCTGCCGCCTGTATATAAGCGCCAGACTTAATACTTGTGCTTTAGTTTAGAGGCTTCAAGACTCCGGTGCTCTACCAAATCCAAGATTGAAGGACTAATTATCTCATCTTATGTATATAGTTCTACAGTCTTCCCATTATATCCTTGAATTTGTATTGATAGAGTCATGGATGGCGAAACGTTTACAGTGAAGGTACCCAGATGTTCCTTCGAAAGAAGCACGAATGTGCCTCTAATGAAATTGGAACAAAATTTTCAAGCATTTAGACGTGTCTTGTGCCTGTGTGGACAAGTACACATACCATGGTGGAGAGAAATGGAACAAAACACTGACACTTTAATTAAACAAAAAAAAAAGCAATGAATGAGATCCTTTATTGTCAATAAAAAGTCTCGTTACGTCCCCCTGTTGTATCTGTTTCCACGGATATCATGAAGCGTGTCAACCATCCCAGTACACTAGTATATTTGTAGCACAGCTATCCGCAGTAGACAGCGTTGAACTGCACAAAGCGGAGTGCGACATTGAGCCTGACGAAGTGGGCGATTTGTTGCGAGTCTGTTAGTACGCAGCAAAACTGACCGTAGTCCAAGTGCAGGCAAAAACGTGTACTTGACGTAAGAGAAAGACTTGCTGCAGAGAAGAGATCAGGTAACGGTAGAGTGGAATCCAGGCAACGCAGGGGATCTCGGGTAACGAACATGGAGGCGAGAGAGAGAGAGTCGAAGGCTTTGGCACTCTTTGGAGTAGTAGTAGTAATAATTGTAGTAGTAGTAGTAGCAGCAGCAGCAGCAGCAGCAACAGTCACGGAACAAGCTCGGTCATTAGAAGCTTGTCCAAGAGGACTGACAAAGCGTGAAGAACACAACAACTCACCGATGAAAACATTAAACCACTCACACAAGACTGGGACTCATAACAAATTCAGAGATGCCACATGCAGTCACTATGAGTAAGCTATGACTGGGATATACGAATACTAAATATCCGAATATCCAACCTTACGAACTGCCAAGACCAGGTTGTGTAACCCGAGACGCTGCAGTTACATCCACTCACCTTCACTAACACAGAACATGAGCAATATAAACAAGGCTTAAGGTCATAGAAATAAGATATAGAATTTCCACTGGACAAGGGTATCGCGGTCGACAGTTTTCCTTTGCGACCAGTCACAGACCTCCTCGGAAGTAATGAAGTTTGGGACGTACTTTTATCTTAGAATAGTGATATTCCTGTGTATAAACGATTGATTTTGATGTTCTTCTGTTAATTCAACCTGCCGGTGTTTGGATGATGGTGAGGCTAGATACGGACATGCTCAGGGTTGTTCACGTTACTATAAGTGTAAAACAGTGCTAATAACCCAGACTCTGGAGCATCTTTAAGTAGAGAAAAAGATGAATTGGTCGAGTAAGTAGTGTTGGCGTGGTGAAGGTGTTAGTGTATTGGTGGGATTTGTTTGTCCTGATGTGGTGTTGCTGCAGTGTTTCGATACGGTGGAGATGTGTTTCTGGCCTCGTGTTGCAAGTGTGTTGCCAATACCCAAGACACTGAACACTAGTGATATTTTCGTGTCACACCCAGGTATAATTTATTGAGAAACGAGTCGTCTGCTCAGCAGGCTTTATCATTCTAATACATGTATTGCACATGTATTATGCATCCAGCTATTACTCACTTGCCATAGTGATAGTTATTTAGTATTGCCACTCTCATGCTACACATTTACTTGCAACAGATATTACATAATCTGTTAATATATATCCAGATGTACAGCTGTATTATTACTAGAGACTTGTCCCTAAGACTCTTGTTTATCCATATGTTCTTGTACTACCATCCACAGGATGGATATGTTCTCGTACTACCATCCACAGGATGGATATGTTCTTGCACTACCATCCACAGGATGGATATGTTCTTGCACTACCATCCACAGGATGGATATGTTCTCGTACTACCATCCACAGGATGGATATGTTCTCGCACTACAGCCACAGGATGATAAGTTATTCTGCATACCACTTCCACAGGATGGATATGTTCTTTTCTACCATCCACAGGATGGATACGGTCTCGCACTAATCATCCACGGATGGATATGTTCTCGTCATACCATCACTGGATGGGATATGGTCGTGCCAACACACTTGCCATTTGGTGCCAAATAAACAAAGATTGGATACCGCATTGACGTCAGCAAGATAGAAGCGTCATGTATGAAAACAAACAGTTTATTCATGACCGTTTCACAGATTTCATTTTTTTTTTGCACTGCACTGGACAGTTAACCGCGGCCTGTCTCGAACTAATTCAATCTCTGGTGAAAATTTCAATCAATGTTGCCAAAACAGGCGTAATAACTGACCTTTTTGGAGGGATATGTTTTCGTTGGCGAAATTGCCTTTGGTTGCCAAATTGAAAAAAAAGATGGCCGTGACTGTAAACAGGATCAGAACTAGAGTGGTTCCAGTCGTCTTATGTTAGTATGATCTTTAAAACCAGAATGGTTCCAGTATTATTCAGTGACTATGATCTTCAGAACCAGAGTGGTTCCAATCATCTGTGATAATGATTTTCGTAACTACAATGGTTCAGTCTTAAATTCCCTTATGATCTTCAGAACCTAAGTGGTTCCAATCCTCTTTAAAATCCTTCATAATCCATAAAACGCATCAGCACACGCGATTATTATACGTATCTATCAGAGACATTCACAAATAGACGCAGACAGACGTCACGGCAATACCGGAAAGTGAGAGAAATAAAACACACGCGCAACACCTGTTAATCTTTATTCGAAGACACCCAGGTGTTGCACAGGTGTCTAATTCCTTACAGCCAGTCAGGTCGAAACACAAATGACAATACTCCCGCTAATGATCTACAGCGGAAGTTAATCAGGGCGATTTTTAATTGCATTAATGGAGGAGTCTAAAGGTGGGAGTTCAAGTGAGAGGATTTAATGATTAAAAAATTTCATTGAGACAAGAAACCTTCGTCAAATTTAGAGGACAAAATTAATAAATCAACGTTGCACGTTTTTGTTAGGAAATAAAATATTGATAATCTTGTTATGAGAGATTTGACTGTTTTTTTTTTTTTTGATATCAGGGAGTTATGATCTAATATCCTATTATTATTATTATTATTATTATTATTATTATTATTATTATTATTATTATTATTATTATTATTATTATTATTATATTATATTACTACTACTACTATTATTTATTATTATCATTTTTATTATTATTATTATTTTTATTATTATTAGTATTACTATTATTATTATTATCATTTTTATTATTATTATTATTATTGCGGAGCGCTAAGCCCGAATGCCATCCCCCTCCCCTGTGGGGAGGGGGGAAGGCATTCAGGTTTAATTCAAGGAAGTGGAGCACAGATCCAATTCCCTAGATCAAGAGCCCCTCACCAGCGTCAAGGAACCTCCCTTGAGAGGTATACTGGTATCAGAGTTTTGATCTGTTATCCTGATATCAGGAATTATTCATCTATTATCCTGATATCAGAGAGTTTTCATCTGTTATCCTGTTATTCTAATCTCTTCTCATTATTTTAATACCGCCAGAAAACAGTGAAACACAGGACTCATTCCCCTTTGGTAGGTCATTCACATGCATTAAAAACAGTAGCGGTCCTAACACTGATCCTCGCGGAACCCCACTCGTCATACTCTCCCATCCTCATTTTTCATCTTACTGTTACTCTCTGCCTTCTCTCATTTAGGAACTCATTGATCCACTGGAGCACTTTGCCTTCCGTCTCAACTGCTTGTTCTAATTCCTTAACAAATCTCTGGTGTGGTACGGTATCACATGTCCAAGACAATGCAATATGCGCGACCATTTTCTGTTTTGTCTTGTTTTATCTCTGTGACTCCGTAGTAAAATTCCAGCACATTCGTAAGACAGGATTTGCCATCCCTAAATCCATGCTGGCTTTCTATAAAGAATTTTCTTTTCCAAGGGCTCAGGTGTCCATTGTCTTATTGCCTTCTCCAGATCTTTTCTACAGTCTGCGAGTCAGAGATTCTAGGCTGGAATTCAAGGGCTCTTGTCTGGCTTTTTTTTTATGTAAATGGGTATCTCCTTGGCCTTTTTTTATTTTTTTTCAAGCAGTTCTTCTGATTGCAGAAATTGGTTGAGTACCTTTGCTATTAGTCACGTAGTTGTTTTTCCCCTTCCCCTCAACACTCACGGAGATGCATTGTCTGGTCCCATTGTTTTGTGTTGGGTTAACCTCTTATAGTAGTCTCATGTAATCTTTCGTTGTGTTGATGCTCTCCGGGGGCCCTGATGGTCCGTTCTGAGTACTATAGTGATGTGTACTCACCATATGTAGTTGCAGGGGTCGACCCACAGCTTCTGGCTCCTCCCTCTTCGCTAATCGCAACTAGGTTCTCTCTTTCTGTGTGTGTGTGTATGTGTGTGTGCATTCATGCACGCGCGTGCGTGTGTTTACTGACAGCATGAAAGTCATATATCTCATCACGCATTGCAAGATAATTGCCTCACAACTGCAACATCACAGCAATTATTAACAATTATTCAAATAACGAGCAGGAATTACGAATCATTCCTAATATTACTCTCGTAACGCGATTATCACCTTTGACAAAGACATTCTGAATTCCTTGTAAATGCTTATCTTTGAGCAATATATATATATATATATATATATATATATATATATATATATATATATATATATATATATATATTATATATATTATTATATATATATATATATATATATATATATATATATTTGTGAGATGTGATGGCCGACAGATTACTCACCTAGTCCTGTGAGGCTCAACAGTTCTACCACGGCGCGTTTCATCTTTCCTGGAATAAGGGAGAAGACTGTCAGTGTTTGTATGGGAGATGAAGGTATAGTTGTATGTACCTCTGTGTGGTGATGTTCCTGCGTCAGGATGTCCAAGTCGCAACCACAGATGATTATGACTCTTTACGACTACTGATACCATAACTATCACTATCACAAGTACTGCCATCACAACTAGTGCCACCATAACTATCACCATCCATCACAACTATCACAATCGCAACTATCACCATCACAACTACAACCATCGCAACTACTGCCACCACAACTATTACCATCACTACTACCACCATCACAACTATCACCATCACAAATATCACCATCACAACTATCACCATCGCAACTATCACCATCACAACTATCACCGTCACAACTATCACCGTCACAATTATTACCATCACAACTATCACCATCACAACTGTCACCGTCACAACTATCACCATCACAACTATCACCATCACAACTATCACCATCACAACTATCACGGTCACAACTATCACCATCACAACTATCACCATCACAACTATCACCATCACAATTTATCACCGTCACAACTATCACCGTCACAACTATCACTATCACAACTACCACCATCGCAACTTACACCATCACAACTACTACCATCACAACTATCACCATCACAACTATCACCGTCACAACTATCATCATCACAACTATCACCATCACAACTATCACCATCACAACTATCACCGTCACAACTATCACCGTCACAACTATACTATCACAACTACACCACCAACTCACATCACAATACTACCATCACAACACTACTATCCATCACAACTATCACCGTCACAACTATCATCTCACCTATACATCAAACTAAATTACCAAATATCCACAACTATCAGCACCACAACTATCAACACCACAATTACCACCATCACAACTACCACCATCACAACTACCACCATCACAACTACCACCATCACATTTACCACCATCACAACTACCACCATCACAACTACCACCATCACAACTACCACCATCACAATTACCACCATCACAACTACCACCATCACAACTACCACCATCACAACTACCACCATCACAATATAAGAATCAGACATTAATTTTACTAAATACAGTTTGCTGATGTTCTTGTCCCTCTTCTCCTTTCCCCTCCTCCTCCTCCCCCCACCCCTTCTCCCCCTCCTCCTCCCTCCTCCACCCCCAGCCCCTTTTCTCCCCCCCTCCTCCTCCTCCTCCTCCACTTCTTCCTCCTTTTCAAAAATAAAAAACCCTCCTCTGCAAGAAACCCTTTAAGAAACTGTAGAAAATTTTTTGTCTTGCCCCCCTTTCTTTTTCCCCAAACAAAAAAAGTAACCCCTTGGGGTAAAAGAAAACGGGAGAGGGGGGAATTATCAAAACAAAACTAATAAACAGTAATAAATAAAAATATAAAGTAATATACTTAAAACCTACTTTAAAAAAAAATTTTCTGTGACACCCTTTTCCCTTTCCAAACTCCTAGTTTCCTAGTTCCTCACCAAAATGCTTTTGCATCTGCCCAAGGGCTTTTTTACAAAAGGGCCTCCCATCCTCTCTGTAACTATATATATATAAAATTTTTTTATAAAAAATATATATAATAAAATATATATAAAATATATATATATAATATAATGTATATTAAAATAAATATAAAAAAAATATATATATAAATAAAAAATATATATATATATAAAAATATATATATAAATAAAATATTTTTTTAAAATATAAAAAAAAATATATTAGAAAATTTAAAAATATTTTATATATATATTATATATATATATATGTATATATATATATATTATTATTGACGCATAAGGAAAAAATTTAAATTTCCCCCCTCCAGCAAATTTTCTTCGGTAACATATTCTGGAGGGGATACGCAAAACCCTTTCAGGGGGCCCCTCAGTAAAGGAGGATGGGGGGTGACATTTTGGTTTTCGCTGAGGGGCTCTTGACCCAAAAGGGTTTTTGGGTGTTTAAACTCCTCTTCCAAATTAAAAATAATAATAAAATTTAATAAAAAAATAATAAAAATAATTAAAAAATGACAATAATGATGAATAATAATAAATAAAATTAATAACAATAAAAAGTAATAAAAAATAATAATAATAATAATAATAATAATAATAAAAATAATAATAATAATAATAAAAATTATAATAATAATAAAATGTTAATGTTAATAATAAAATTTTATAATAATAATAATAATAAAAACAAAAAAAAAATAAATTTCCTTCGGAAACCTCATAAAATAATCGTAAGTAAAAATTAGAACAGATCGTGCGCCGGGCGGGCTTTTAAGGGCAACGGGCAGCGTAGCAGTCCTTTCCCCAAAACGGGTCTTTAATTTCGGGCCCTTTTTAAACCTCCTGAATGTCAATAATACTCACCGGAGGTCAGTGCTGATGCCCACCTTTCATTGTAATTGCCGGAGGGGTTAAATTACCCCTTCAGGGGGTTTAAAATTACTTTTCAGGGGGGGTTTTTTAAACTTCAGGGGTTAATTTCCCTCCCGGTGGGTTAATTACTCTTTAGGGGCTTTTAAGGTTTTTACCTTAAAAGTCATTAATTTTTAGAATGATATAAAAAAGAAAAATTAAACTAGAAAAATCAAAAATATATATTTTATATAATATATATATATATTATATATATATATATATATATAAAATATATATATATAATATATAAAACACACATAAAAATTTCCCTTAAACAGGGGTTTTAAAAAAACACCATACACACATACACACACACACACACACACACCCCCCACACACACATAACACACACAACACACACTACACACCCACACCATACACCACACACATACACACACACACACACAACACACACTTACACACACGGGAGCTCGCCTCGACCCCCCGAAAACCTAAATTTGGTGAGTAAAACACACGCACTCAAATACCACACACACACACATACAAAAACACACACACACATACACACACCCCACACCCCTACCCCACACCCACACACAAAAACCCACACACACACACACCAACACACACACACACACCACACACACACACACACACACCCACACACACACACACACAATACTTGGAGGCTAAGAGAGGAGGTGGTACTGGGAAAACTCATGTCCCAAACCCACGTAAGGGACACGGAAAAGAGGGGAGAGGAAACCCCAAGGCAAGTTTTTAGAAATTCCCCCTTTGAGTATGCGATTTTGAGGACATCACATAAAAAAAGCCCCCTTTGGGGGCCAGGGGCCCAAATTTTTTTTAAACTTCGAATACACAGTAGAGCAACAATTGGGGGGAGAACGGGAAGGGCCGGGGACGAATGAACCCAAACTACAAAAAAGGGGGACAAACACGGGAATGAGGAACTTCCTAAAAGGGGGTTCAGGGGGACAGAGAACGGGCAGGGAAGCCAAAAAGAGATCAGGGAATATGTGCAAAAAAGGGGGCAAGGAGGCGGGGAGAGTTTTACCCAAGGGCAACGGAAAAATGAAAAACCGGGATGAGCCCAGGGTTTTCCCCAAAAAAAGGTGGGGGAGGCAAAAACCAAGTGTCTAGGAATGGAAGAATATAGAAGGCAAAGGACCCAGGAAATAAGGAGAACATCGTAGAGCCAGAAACGAATATGCCGATAAGAAGGGAGCCCAAAGACAAAATGAAAATGACTAGCACAAAAGCCAAATCTGACCCAAACGTTGTACAGCCACATCGGGAGGAAAAAAACAGTCAAGGACCGGTAATCGGGCTAAGGAAGGGGGGGAAGGACAAAAAGAAAGCCGTGAAGTATGTGAGGAACTCCCCAAGATTAAAAGAAGTGTTCACAGAGGAACAAAAGGGGGCTCCAAAAGACCGGGGGTGGGGCACACCCCCAAGTGCTGGACACAGTGCACAAAACCCGGGGAAAAGTGAAGAGGCTTTGAGTGATAGATATCTCAAAGGCAATGGGGCCAATAACATCTCCCCATGGGATTGAAGAGGGGGCAGAGGGGCAAGTGTACCCCTAACAAAAAATATTCAATACATCTATCGAAACAGGGGGGATTGCCTAGGCATGGAAAACCAAATTACCCCCTCTTTAAAAAAAAAACAAAATGAACTTAAACAAAAGCCATTCCGACAGTATAGTATGCAAAATCAGGGGAAGTTTTCAGGAGAAATGGTGGAAAACCCAGAAAGGAATGATCCATCAAGAGCAGCCCAAAATGGTTTCAAACGGGAAACCTGTGTCACAAACCTACTGGAGTTCTATGACATGGTGACACATAAAACAAAAGAGAGGGGGGGGGGGATTTTCATTTTCTTGGGCTGAAGAAGGGGTTTGACACAGTTTTCCCCAAAAGAAAGGCAAAAAATGGAGGACCAAGCAGGATCAGGGGAAGGGACTACAATGGACAGGGAATACTTTTCAGAAAAAAGCAAACGTCCCAGACCGGCTTTTCTGGTATTTTACGACATACGGAAGGGGTAACTCGAGGGGCCCTTTTGCAGAAGTATTAAGAAAGAATTTACCCCACGAAAAACCAGGCAGAAAAAAAGGGGGTCTGGCAGGTCAAAAACCTGGTCCCCCCAGGGGAAGGGCAAAGAAGACCGCAGACGGAGTACAGTCCAGGGGGCCAGAGACTACAAACATCACTCAAGGAAAAAGATCTTGGGGTGAGTATAACACCAGGCACATCTCCTGAAGCGCACATCAATCAAATAACTGCTGCAGCATATGGCGCCTAGCAAACCTCAGAACAGCATTCCGACATCTTAATAAGGAATCGTTCAGGGCCCTGTACACCGTGTACGTTAGGCCCATATTGGAGTATGCGCACCAGTTTGGAACCCACACCTAGCCAAGCACGTAAAGAAACTAGAGAAAGTGCAAAGGTTTGCAACAAGACTAGTCCCAGAGCTAAGAGGTATGTCCTACGAGGAGAGGTTAAGGGAAATCAACCTGACGACACTGGAGGACAGGAGAGATAGGGGGGACATGATAACGACATACAAAATACTGAGAGGAATTGACAAGGAGGACAAAGACAGGATGTTCCAGAGATTGGACACAGTAACAAGGGGACACAGTTGGAAGTTGTAGACACAGATGAATCACAGGGATGTTAGGAAGTATTTCTTCAGCCACAGAGTAGTCAGTAAGTGGAATAGTTTGGGAAGCGATGTAGTGGAGGCAGGATCCATACATAGCTTTAAGCAGAGGTATGGTAAAGCTCACGGTTCAGAGAGAGTGACCTAGTAGCGATCAGTGAAGAGGCGGGGCCAGGAGCTCGGACTCGACCCCCGCAACCTCAACTAGGTGAGAACTAGGTGAGTACACACACACACACACACATACACACACACACACACACACATACACACACATACACACATACACACACACAGGACTACAAAGAGATCTGGACAGGCTACAAGCCTGGTCCAGCAACTGGCTCCTTGAATTTAACCCTGCCAAATGCAAAGTCATGAAGACTGGGGAAGGGCAAAGAAGACCGCAGACACATTATAGTTTAGATGGCCAAAGACTGCAAACCTCACTCAAGGAAAAAGATCTGGGGGTGAGTATAACACCGAGCATATCTCCTGAGGCGCACATCAATCAGATAACTGCTGCAGCATACGGGCGCCTGGCAAACCTACGGATAGCGTTCCGATACCTCAGTAAGGATTCGTTTAAGACTCTGTACACCATCTACGTCAGGCCATACTGGAGTATGCAGCACCAGTTTGGAATCCACACCTAGTCAAGCACGTAAAGAAATTAGAGAAAGTGCAAAGGTTTGCAACAAGACTAGTCCCAGAGCTACGGGGATTGTCCTATGAAGAAAGGTTGAGGGAAATCGGCCTGACGACACTGGAGGCCAGAGGGTCAGGGGAGACATGATAACGACATATAAAATACTGCGCGGAATAGACGAGGTGGACAAAGACGGGATGTTCCAGATGGGACACAGACACAAGAGGTCACAATTGGAGTTGAAGACTCAGATGAATCAAAGGGATGTTAGGAAGTATTTCTTCAGTCATACAGTAGTCAGGCCATGGAATAGCCTAGAAAGTGATGTGGTGGAGGCAGGAACCATACATAGTTTTAAGGCGAGGTATGATAGAGCTCATGGGGCAGGGAGAGAGAGGACCTAGTAGCAATCAGTGAAGAGGCGGGGCCAGGAGCGTGACTCGACCCTGCAACCACAAATAGGTGAGTACAAATAGGTGAGTACATACACACATACACACACACACACACACACACACACACACACACACACACACACACACACACACACACACACACACACACACACACACACACACACACACACACACACACACACACACACACACACACACGAACGCCCTTAACCATTAATGAAAGACACGATGAACTATCTTAAGTAAATTCTCTGTCTCTCTGTCTCTGTCTGTCTCTCTCTCTCTCTCTCTCTCTCTCTCTCTCTCTCTCTCTCTCTCTCTCTCTCTCTCTCTCTCTCTCTTTAAAATTCAGTACTCGTGGGGAAAAAAACTGCTTCGCACTTGAGTTAAGTAAATTAACGCATTTACACGCGAGCAGAAATACAAAATACAATTCAAGAATAATCAGTTGTATTGCGAATTGTATAATGAATTATACAACGAATTTTCAACTACGAGTTGTATAACGAAATGTATTTTTAATTGTGGCTTTACGTTATTGTGGCTTGTACAATATCAACTACACGAGGCGTCATTACAGGAGACAATCACAGCTTCTGAATCACCGTGATTAAATCACGATGATTTATTTTGTAAGGAAATCTCCAAAATCCAGGATTTAGACTAATTCATGTTAAGCGATCAACCCCATGGGGGTCGTTCGGGGCAGGGTGTGTTGGAGGCTCGATCCTGCGTCACCGGAGAGCGCCAGGGAGATGCCATTTCGATTGAAATGTCCTCCAAAAGGCAGGACTCGGTTAAGGCCTTTGACAAATGTGACTGAGCGTGGTTACCACAGGTAAAGAAAAAAAAATGGCCTGTGGTTATGGCAGGAAAATTTGGTGAGTGGATTTTCATTATCCCTCGTGAAATTGAACACAGAGAGTAGTACTAGTAGTAGTAAAATAGTACTAGTAGTAGTAGTAGTAGTAGAATAGTATTAGTGGTAGTAGTAATAGTAGTAGTAGATTAATACTACTGGTGGTAGTAGTTGTAGTAGTAATAGTTATAGTAGAATAATAATAATAGTGGTAGTAGTAGTGGTAGTAGTAGTAGTAGTAGTAGCAGCAGCAGCAGCAGCAGCAGTAGTAGTAGTAGTAGTAGTAGTAGTAGTAGTAGTAGTAGTAGTAGTAGTAGTAGTAGTAGTAGAAGAATAGTATTAGTGGTAGTAGTAATAGTAGTAGTAGATTAATACTACTGGTGGTAGTAGTTGTAGTAGTAATAGTTATAGTAGAATAATAATAGTGGTAGTAGTAGTGGTGGTAGTAGTAGTAGTAGTAGTAGCAGCAGCAGTAGTAGTAGTAGTAGTAGTAGTAGAATAGTATTAGTGGTAGTAGTAATAGTAGTAGTAGATTAATACTACAGGTGGTAGTAGTTGTAGTAGTAATAGTTATAGTAGAATAATAATAATGGTAGTAGTAGTGGTGGTAGTAGTAGTAGTAGTAGTAGCAGCAGTAGTAGTAGTAGTAGTAGTAGTAGTAGCAGTAGTAGTAGTAGCAGTAGTAGTAGTAGTAGTAGTGGTAGTAGTAGTAGTAGTAGTAGAAGTAGTAGTAGCAGTAGTAGTAGAAGTAGCAGTAGTAGTAGTAGTAATAGTAACAGTAGCAGCAGCAGTAGTAGTAGTAGTAGTAGTAGTAGTAGCAGTAACAGTAGTAGTAGCAGTAGCAGTAACAGTAGTAGTAGTAGCAGTAACAGTAGTAGTAGTAGCAGTAGCAGTAACAGTAGTAGTAGTAGTAGTAGTAGTAGTAGCAGTAACAGTAGTAGTAGTAGTAGCAGTAACAGTAGTAGTAGTAGCAGTAACAGTAGTAGTAGTAGCAGTAACAGTAGTAGTAGTAGTAGAAGTAACAGTAGTAGTAGTAGTAGTAGCAGTAACAGTAGTAGTAGTAGTAGTAGCAGTAACAGTAGTAGTAGTAGTAGCAGTAACAGTAGTAGTAGTAGTAGAAGTAACAGTAGTAGTAGTAGTAGCAGTAACAGTAGTAGTAGTAGTAGCAGCAGTAGTAAATGAGGTGAAATCTAACTCAATGTATAAAGCCCGGTACTCCAAGGCACGTTCCCGGCGCCGCTCCTGTTTCTCATCCTCAAAGAAAACATAGCTGAAGGATACTTGAAAGGTACCTGAAGGATGCTTGAAGGATGCATTTGGGGGCCAACGTCCCAGGGACCCAGTGCTAGACCAGGAATCCTGACATAGATAAGAACGCAGACTACAGCTATATTACATCCTTTGCAAAGGTTACTAGAAATGATAGCATGAAAGTCACCTCGGAAGAGGACACCAAAAACACTACGAGAGAGTATAAATAAAGTCTTCCAGGTACTTACGATATATTAATACGTATTGAACGTAAGGGCGCATGCAGCTCTTGCTGGAATTTTTTTCGTCACTGCTGGTTCATATAGATGAGTCAGAGTGACAGGCAGCAGTTGGAGACGGTGTCGTAGGGCAGAGGGGGCCCACTGGTGGAGCAGGTCACACCAGTAAGTTATTCAGCAGTAGAGTTGTACAAAGGTATCTTCTGTGCTTTGGTTCCGCCATGTTGCTCTGTTAGACAACTAACACCGTCATGAATATCATAGTTGCAACTATCACCACCACAACCACCACCACCACCACCACCACAACCACCACCACCACCACAACCATCACAAGACAAAAAAAAAATACCATCCCATTCACCCGGTTCTATGCATCACCTTACGTGCCTCAACACCTTCAGCAAACGATCCACACAAATGCATTTACCTCCCCTTACCTCTGTGTGGATACCTCATGTCATTACCTCCCTGAGGTAGCCCTTATATTTATCCAGTCCGTGTGTGTGTGTGTGTGTGTGTGGTGTGTGTGTGTGTGTGTGTGTGTGTGTGTGTGTGTGTGTGTGTGTGTGTGTTTGCAAGCTTATCAAGTTTAGGTGCTCCTCAAAACACAAGTTAGAAATAATATTTACCGCAAAGTTTTCCCATTTCTGGCTAGTGTGGCTTGTATTTTTGTCATTCTGAAACGCCTGGCTCCTGTTCTGATTGTTTATCTACAAATATATTCAACAGACATGCATCAATCATGGGTAAATATGCATCGAGACTTGGATCCCTCTCTCTCACTCTCTCTCTCTCTCTCTCTCTCTCTCTCTCTCTCTCTCTCTCTCTCTCTCTCTCTCTCTCTCTCTCTCTCTCTCTCTCTCTCTCTCTCTCTCTCTCTCTCTTCCATCTCTCTCTCTCTCTCTCTCTCTCTCTCTCTCTCCTCTCTCTCTCTCTCTCCTCTCTTTTCTCCCTCTCCCTCTCTCTTCTCCCTCTCCCTCTCTCTCCCTAGGGAGAAACAGTCAACAGCGACATAACAGACAACAGTCTCCTCGCTATAATTTCAGCCAGTCGACCTCTTCCACAATTTCCACCGGGTTGCCTTGCCAAATCGGAACGGCAGGATAGTAAACAACTGCCTGAACGGATGGAATTGGAACCTATGGTGAACCAAGTGTTGAAACTAGCAGGCCAGGGCTAGTACATAGCTTCAACACTAGCCACAGCACTAGCGCGTTTACTGACTTTCAGTGAGCTCCTCTTTACCCCGCGACCTTTTCTGTTAACCCCACCACCTCTCTACTAACCCCACGACCTCTCTAGTAACCCCACGACCTCTCTAACAACCCCACATCCTCTCTATTAACCCACGACCTCTCTAATAACCTCACGACCTCTCTATTAAAACCACGACCTCCCTATTAACTCTACCACCTCTCTAATAACCCCACGACTTCTCTAATAATACCACGACCTCTCTAATAACCCCACAACCTTTCTATTAACCCACGACCTCTCTAATAACACCACGACCTCTCTAATAACCCACAACCTTTCTATTAACCCACGACCTCTCTAATAACCCCACGACCTCTCTATTAACCCCACGACCTCCCTATTAACTCTACCACCTCTCTAATAACCATACGACCTCTCTAATAACACCACGACCTCTATTAACCCCACGACCTCTCTATTAACCCCAAGACCTCTCTAATAATCCCACGACCTCTCTATTAACCCCACGACCTCCCTATTAACCCCACGACCTCTCTATTAACCCCACGACCTCCCTATTAAGATGAATGGTTCAGAGAACCGACATGTTGATAAATTAGACACATGTGCAAGACTGATGGACTGAACACATCGACTCAAGGTTGAGGGACTGATTACCTCATTCTCCTCCTGTTCTTCAAGTTTCTCCTACGTATGGACTGATGAAGCCACTGTGTGGCGAAACGTTTCCTCAATAAAGATACCCAAGAGTTGCACATGTGTCTAATTTATCATCACCTCCCTATTAACTCTACCACCTCTCTAATAACCCTACGACCTCTCTAATAACACCACGACCTCTCTATTAACCCACGACCTCTCGATTAACCCCAAGACCTCCCTAATTACCCCACGACCTCTCTATTAACCCCACGACCTCTCTATTAACCCCACGACCTCTCTATTAACCCCACGACCTCTCTATTAACCCCACGACCTCTCTATTAACTCTATCGCCTCTCTATTAGTCCCACGACCTCTCTATAAACTCTACCAGCTCTCTAATAAACCCACGACCTTTCTAATAATCCCATGATCTCTCTAATAACCCCACGACCTCTCTAATAACCCTAGGATCTCTCTAATAACCCTACTACCTCTCTAATAACCCCACGACCTCTCTAATAACCCCAGGACCTCTCTAATAACCCCACGACCTCTCTAATAACCCCATGATCTCTCTAATAACCTCAAGATCTCTCTAATAACCCCACGATCTCTCTAATAACCCCACGATCTCTCTAATAACCTCACGACCTCTCTAATAACCCCACGATCTCTCTAATAACCCCACGATCTCTCTAATAACCCCACGATCTCTCTAATAACCCCACGATCTATCTAATAACCCCACGATCTCTCTAATAACCCCACCATCTCTCTGATAACCCCACGATCTTTCTAATAACCCCACGATCTCTCTAATAACCTCACGATCTCTCTAATAACCCCATGATCTCTCTAATAACCCCACGATCTCTCTAATAACCCCACGATCTCTCTAATAACCCACGATCTCTCTAATAACCCCACGATCTTTCTAATAACCCCACGATCTCTCTAATAACCTCACGATCTCTCTAATAACCCCATGATCTCTCTAAAACCCCACGATCTCTCTAATACCCCACGATCTCTCTAATAACCCCACGATCTCTCTAATAACCCCACGATCTTTCTAATAACCCCACGATCTCTCTAATAACCCCACGATCTCTCTGATAACCCCACGATCTTTCTAATAACCCCACGATCTCTCTAATAACCTCACGATCTCTCTAATAACCCCATGATCTCTCTAATAACCCCACGATTTCTCTAATAACCCCACGATCTCTCTAATAATCTCACGATCTCTCTAATAACCCCACGATCTTTCTAATAACCCCACGATCTCTCTAATAACCCCACGATCTCTCTAATAACCCCACGATCTCTCTAATAACCCCACGATCTCTCTAATAACCCCACGATCTCTCTAATAACCCCACGATCTCTCTAATAACCCCAGGATCTCTCTAATAACCCCACGATCTCTCTAATAACCTCACGATCTCTCTAATAACCCACGATCTCTCTATAACCCCACGATCTCTCTAATAACCCCATGATCTCTCTAATAACCCCACGATCTCTCTAATAACCTCACGATCTCTCTAATAACCTCACGATCTCTCTAATAAGCTCACGATCTCTCTAATAACCCACGATCTTTCTAATAACCCCCACGATCTCTCTAATAACCCCACGATCTCTCTGATAACCCCACGATCTTTAATAACCCCACGATCTCTCTAATAACCTCACGATCTCTCTAATAACCCCATGATCTCTCTAATAACCCCACGATTTCTCTAATAACCCCGATCTCTCTAATATCTCACGATCTCTCTAATAACCCCCGATCTTTCTAATAACCCACGATCTCTCCTAATAACCCACGATCTCTCTAATAACCCCACGATCTCTCTAATAACCCAGGATCTCTCAATAACCCCACGATCTCTCTAATAACCCCACGATCTCTCTAATAACCCCAGGATCTCTCTAATAACCCCACGATCTCTCTAATAACCTCACGATCTCTCTAATAACCCCACGATCTCTCTAATAACCCCACGATCTCTCTAATAACCCCAGGATCTCTCTAATAACCC